ATTAGCTAAAATAGCGAAAAAGGTGACTCATATTGTATATTTATCACACAAAAAGACTCTGCGAGCCACATTTTCCAATGTTTAACATGTTGTAGCAAAATAACATCAACATTCATCATTCATCCTACAGTAAGTCTGCAAAATCTGAATACTATAATATATTAATAATGTATATGCTATCTCAGTCCTGTCTTAAGGAACATGTCGGCCTTAGTCAGAAACAAGATGACAAAATCACGCCACTCATCCGACACTCATCTCCTACTTACTTACATACATACTTGGCTTAAAAACCTACCTTCGTATGGTCGCCATTTCAATTAAAAGTATTAAGTATACTGGCCAAGTCGTAGGTATAAACATAGAACTTGCCTAAAAGTCAGAAATTTTTCAGTTCAATCCTAAAAAAGGAATTTTTTATGCAATGAAATTGAACCATGCTGTCCTTAGCCTATTCATTGGACCTTTTTAGCAAATCGATAATTTGGCTGAAGAAAACGTTGGTTTACAAGTAGGCTATTGAGCAATTAGAAAAACTATAATTGCTTTTTACTCTATTCTATACTCGTCCTTTACTTTTGTAAAGTTTAAAATGAACAGCGTTTTCTCAGTTTTATGATGATAATAATCAATAATTATAATCTTTTATATTAACGAAATATGCTTCCCATGTATTTCTTATTGGAGTTAACTTTGGTTCTCTTTTCAGACCAAAAAACATATATTCTGATTTATTTTCGAACTCTTACTTCAATTTACGATATATTTAACCATTTATACACACACCACCATTAAAATACTAGCAGAGTACCCGTCCTTCGTACGCAGTTGGCGCATGAGCATAAAATGCTTAATGCAGTTGTACTCTTTCTTTACGTTTGCAATGGAATAGGACACGGTTTAAGAAAATTTGGTTCTTTCAATTTACGTTATTCTACCATAGCACATCTACCATAATCTTAAAAATAACACTTAAACATGTTTACCATTGCACCTAAACAATAGAAAAAAAAGTTCTCGTAGCTTTTTGTTGCTACTTGGTTAAAATGAGCAATTGTCATAAACGCAAAAAATTATAGTGTATATCATAGAACCAACTTGTTTAGTTGAAACAGCTAGCTGACAAAACTCTTTAATTCCTTTTAAAATATGAATACTCATAAGGTTAACATGGGAAACTCTAGAGCCATGGGGCAGAGCCGGAAAGGATTTTTGAGATTATGTTTGAAGATTATGTCTTAACTGAGATCTGTTAACGGGAACGTGAGCTATCATCATACCAAATTTCAACCAAATCTGACCAGTAGTTAATGCGTGATTGAACTTCAAACAAACAAACAAACGCACAAACATTCACATTTATAATATTAAGTATGATCCTATAGTGTATATTTTGGTTTAAGAACCTTCAGTGGCTTTCATTTAAGCTATTAGTTATTCAAATCGGACGAGTTTCAAGCAAACGCAAGGTGAACAACAACATAAACATTATTTTTATAAGGGTTTTCTATGGTTAAAATAATCAGTAAATTATAGGCTTTAATTTGAGATATTGGTCGTTTGAATCTAATCGGTTAAGTTCAAGATAATGTATTACTCAATCAAAAATCATAAATTTATTATTTCTCGGATATGATATTTATTTTTACGCTGCAGAGCAGCATGGGTCCTCTAGTGATATTTATTAATATGTTATCTTTTTGTATAGTACCTTCACACCGAATAGCTACACCTTATGCAGTAACGTAATAAGTGTAGTATATCATTAGTTGAAGGCACAGACTGTTTTTCATTGTTGATCACTTATAGAGGCTTATATTTAACAATGTAACAGTTATAATTACCCCAACGGCAACAAACCAGCAGACTAAGTGAATTTTCATTCACTTGGCTGGATATCCACTAAAATATTCCCTTACAATTGTCAAATTTATTTCCTGTTTAAATAACAATATTTAAATTATTACTTAGGTTTGCTTGTACAGGAAATGGTGTTTTTATTTGAAATTTTTATAGATTGGTATGAAACAAATTCCCAAATCCAATTCAAATAAATATCCATAAACAAGCAAACTACAGTCATTTTATTTTTCTCAATAAGGAAATCATAGGTATTTCAATTTACACTTTTGTTTAATTTTCTCCGTAAACGTCAGGCATAAAACAACTCGTACTAAATTATTTGTAAGCTGTACTAAATGTTTAGGAAATAAATTTCAATCCTTTATGTTTTAGGTTCAAAATGGGGAAAACAAGTTTTGCCCCATAAAACCCCGTATAAACTATAAACTACCGTCCCCATAGTCCGATCATGCTGGTTCGTGAACCCGTTCGAATAAACGTAGGTTTACACGTTTGTAAAACAATTATAAAAATCTTATAATTGTTGCTGAATTTGAACGAATGGTGTTTTGGCCTCTGGGAACCTCAAATCGAAAAAGTAAATTTGTCCCGGACCCAAGTATTACTACGAGACATACGGTACCTTATTCCCTATGTGGGAAATTCACTAATAATGAAGAAATGTATACATTACTACAACAGTTGAATTTTAGTTGATGGTTTTCTTTGTTATCGTTACACATGCGAATGATTTGACTTAATAATTGTTTTTGATACATTTCTCGTAGTATTAGAGTCTAAAACACTTTAGATGTTTTACACTGCACTCTCCTGAATTGTTATATACATATGCGATGACAAGGCATTATACTAAGCTATGATTTTTAATTGCATCAAATTCCTGTGCAATATTAGTAATTGCAAACGAAATATATATACACGATCGATAATACATATTGTATTTCATCTCTACGCTGTGAAAATAAATTTGACTACATTCTTCCTTATAATTCATAAAATATGAACAAAAATAAATGAGAAGAACTAAATAGATTCTACTGTAACAAACATTCTAAATAGGTAACAGGAATACTGTATACATTTTATTGTAAAGTAGTCTCAGTTGAAATATTTTCAAAACACATAACGTACGGTATTTTAAATGTTGAAAATATAAACGCATTTAATCCAGTGATGTACAAGTATTCCAAGTTTGAAGTGGAAAATGTTTTCATATAACTTCATTAAATATTTACCAGAAAGCGAATGTAACGTGTTCATGTTTTATTCACTCCATGGATAACAATGTAAAAATATTTGCAAATCTTCTGTTTTACCTTTATAGAAATTAAGTCAACAAACATTCCAAAAGAATATTTTTATAAAGATCCGACAAAGGACAAGGGAATATAGAAATTCTTCATGCATTTCTAATGTTAACTAAATTTAGATGTGTGGTGTTATTTACCTCCAAGGCAATACATTTTATCTACTGATCGTTAATTACTATAATGATATTCTGTTACATTTTCCGGTTGAAGTTTGTTTGATGGTGAACTGTGAAAGAGATTTGTGTATGAAAGGCCTAATTTGCATGTTGTTTCAAAGTCTCAGTCAAAACTTGTAATTAGATTTTGCTTTCAGTGATAGCTACTGTGCTTTCATACCAGAAGACTTCTTCTGTCCCATTTGATGGGTGTAATCAGAAAATATATCTGGATACACATATTCACCATACTTTTCTTATAAACTTGTTTTCGACTAATTATCAAAGTTTTTCTACTAGAATAGAATATCAAACAAATTTCTCTTTGGCGTTTTTTTTTAATTCGATGTGATTATGATGTGTTGGATTAATTTAAAATTACTTGCACTTCATATCGACTTTTTTACAATTGGGTATTTTTTTAGTAATTGTGTTGCTACACCCATGCTTAAATTAAATTAAAGTATATCATAAATAACTAGATTGTACGCTGTTGATCTTGGCGTTCTAAAATCTGTTAGTTTGAAATAAGAGTATACTCACACAATAATAAAGTAACAATCATATAACTAGATGTAAACTACACATTCTTTATTTATGCACGTCTCATATTAAAAACATGTAACCATTAATATGCTTATGGTTGCTTGGAGTTTTATAAAGGAGTGCAAAAAAGTCACTGCCTACTTAAAATATGATGGGAAGTAGGGTATTGTTTTTTCCTTTTATTACAAACATTTGGATCTATGACATTTCATCTTGCATTGAACCCTAATTTCAACAAAGCCATCATCCCTTAACATGAGTGGACTAAAATGCAAATTAGATCCGAACAAGGCTTAATTCGGGGCTTATTCCGGAGGCCGAGACTAATATCAGCCAGTTTAATATGTTAACCAGTTTCCCGCTGTTCAAATGCTCGGAAATGTCACCATTCCTAGCAGCTGGGCTAGTGCCAGCTCGACAAATATGAAGTGATCTTAAAGTATCAAAAGTAGCTAGTTTTTATAACTTGTGATTTTTGGTTTTCCCCCGGTTCATTTTGTTGCGATAAATTAATCGTTTATTAAAATAAATCTGAGCTATCATTGATGCAAACCTTTTCGGTGTCGTTATCATTTGGACAGTCTAAATACAACGATATTGTCACTGCCTTTTGCCTACGTTTTGGGTACAGAATTTATCCTCCCCTTAGAGTTTTCTGATGAAGCCTTTTCGACCGTTATGATATCTAGTTCAGTTCTTCAATTATCTCCACCCATTTATCTCCTGGCTCGATTGAAGGACCAGATAGACTATGAACATCCTCGAATATTGCTACCACTGGTTACATGGTTCACACAAGCAGAATATCAACATAAATCGTTTAAAACGAGTGATGCAGAAGTGACGAGGGTTAATAATACCTTCTCTTTTAAAATACTGTGAAGCAGGAAAGGTTAGGCTAGGTTAGGTTAGGTTAATCATTCAAGATTAGGTGCGAGCATCTCAAAGGTACGAGAGTCGGTAATGAATTACAAAATATTCATTAAATGTTAATTCAGAATTCGAGACTATCATTTCTGCAATAAAACGTCATTCCACTGCTGATCGTCTACAATGCTCAATTGAACATCCCATACGGCACATTGTTGCTTTTGTGAATTCCAATTCGGCTGTCAAAACTGTCAGATTATGCCAGATGGTCTGCTCGGCGCTGGGAGACGCGGCGCTCGGGAGGCTCGGCACTCGGGAGACTCGGCACTCGGGAGGCTCGGCACTCGGGAGACTCGGCACTCGGGAGGCTCGGCACTCGGGAGACTCGGCACTCGGGAGGCTCGGCACTCGGGAGACGCGGCGCTCGGGAGGCTCGGCACTCGGGACACGCGGCGCTCGGGAGGCTCGGCATTCGGGAGACTCGGCACTCGGGAGGCTCGGCACTCGGGGAGGCTCGGCACTCGGGAGGCTCGGCACTCGGGAGGCTCGGCACTCGGGAGGCTCGGCACTCGGGAGACTCGGCACTCGGGAGGCTCGGCACTCGGGAGGCTCGGCACTCGGGAGGCTCGGCACTCGGGAGACTCGGCACTCGGGAGGCTCGGCACTCGGGAGGCTCGGCACTCGGGAGGCTCGGCACTCGGGAGGCTCGGCACTCGGGAGGCTCGGCACTCGGGAGGCTCGGCACTCGGGAGACTCGGCACTCGGGAGACTCGGCACTCGGGAGGCTCGGCACTCGGGAGACTCGGCACTCGGGAGGCTCGGCACTCGGGAGGCTCGGCACTCGGGAGGCTCGGCACTCGGGAGGCTCGGCACTCGGGAGACTCGGCACTCGGGAGGCTCGGCACTCGGGGAGGCTCGGCACTCGGGAGGCTCGGCACTCGGGAGGCTCGGCACTCGGGAGGCTCGGCACTCGGGAGACTCGGCACTCGGGAGGCTCGGCACTCGGGAGACTCGGCACTCGGGAGGCTCGGCACTCGGGAGACTCGGCACTCGGGAGGCTCGGCACTCGGGAGGCTCGGCACTCGGGAGGCTCGGCACTCGGGAGGCTCGGCACTCGGGAGGCTCGGCACTCGGGAGGCTCGGCACTCGGGAGGCTCGGCACTCGGGAGACTCGGCACTCGGGAGGCTCGGCACTCGGGAGACTCGGCACTCGGGAGGCTCGGCACTCGGGAGGCTCGGCACTCGGGAGACTCGGCACTCGGGAGGCTCGGCACTCGGGAGGCTCGGCACTCGGGAGGCTCGGCACTCGGGAGGCTCGGCACTCGGGAGACTCGGCACTCGGGAGGCTCGGCACTCGGGAGACTCGGCACTCGGGAGGCGGCATCTTCGCTCAGCACTGTCAGCTAACCTATCCACGGGTTTCAGTACAGCCAGTATGGAAGTGTAAACTCTGTTAACCTCCCACTCTAACTAAAAAGAATACGAATTACATTAATTGGAATAGTTAAGTTACTTAAATTAAAGAACTATATTTTTCTTCATGACAAAATGACCGATGATTGCGTGAATTGTTTACCTGTTTTAATACATTGTTAAATTTGACGGAGGTAACTTGGACGCTGATATTCTAATTCACTTTAGATGCTATCTCATGCTATACACTTGTTTCCTTTTAATTTTCTACGAATGGTGCATAGCTTACGTCGAGGTGAATACTTTTCCTGCATAGGGGCTGGTTTTATCAGTTGATATATTTTACTTCGCATCACGTAGTATATTTAAAGAAACTCTGAGTTAAATAAGGTCTAAAAATTGAATTATAATTATTTTTCCTACAGTTACCTAACAATGTACATGTTCTCTCACTGATTTGAGAAAGCAAAGTGGCCAATTCGCTCATCAGTGAGACAATGTTAACATTGTCTCACTCTAATTACTTTGTCTCACTCCAGATTTGCAACGTGAATGCACGAAATAGTGAGCGCGTAACATACAGACAAGGTCGTATGCGCGCGATATACGTTGGCAGCACTGGCTGTAAATCAGCTGGTCAGCTGTTGTACTGTTGTATCGTTAAATGTCATAAAAGTTCACTTCTGTGTAAATATATGTTACGTTTCTTTACCAATTTATTTGTTTTATGGTAACTGTAGGAAAAATATAATGTACAAAGTCGAGTGCAAAGTGCAATTGCCTCACTCGAGAAAACTTTGCTCACTAGTTGCACAAATAACTATTCTTCTGTGTCAATTGAGTAATCCATCGTTTGATTGACATCTCTTAAGTTTCACTAGAACTTCATATATGCCACAAAGTAAATACTCAACTTATACAATTTACCTCACCTTATTATGCAGTATAATACACTGATCCAAGATCCACAGCTTGCATAAAAGTATACAGAAGTCTCCATATGCCCAATGGTTTATCATATTTCTTAAACACAAGCGACTACAGTATTACCTGGGGAAACGTGCCAACTTACCGCCAGAATGACCTTAGTGAAATACAGATCTCTTAATCAATACTTTGGTTTTGGAGTACTCAGTTATAAATATTTCTAACCTTTGACTATTAATACAACATACAACCTACAACACTTTTTTCATTATTGTGCAGGTATACTTTCACGTGAATAAAAAAATCATTGTGTTTAAAAACTGCTTGAAGAATGTATAAATAATACGGGAACAGACGATGATAGCCCGTTTAGTACTTATGTAATACTATCGAATTACTATATACAATAATCAGCTTTACTAAAATGCGTGTTTATTTGTTAATTTGGAAACTGTTATGAAAAGAAACTGTTTAAAACAGAAAAAAACACGCAAAAGAATTGATATATTAACGAAAATACTAAACTTCTAAACGTCATGTATGTTATAGTTGTGGCTGGAATCCAACACATTTCACAATATTCCAAGCAAACAGAAATTACTTTTGTTTGACCTACTGAAAGTATAAAGCGTGCTTGGTTTGGTTACAGAATTCAACATTTCCTGGGCTTTGAAACAAAAAGAAAAGTTAACTGAAGTTAAGCTTTGAAAAAATGTTAATAACTGTGTTTTAATTTAGCTCCTCTTTATATTATGTAAACATTCATAATCAATTCTAAAATGCATTTAGAGGTGTTTTGCTGCTCAATATAAAACTAAATTTATACTGAAATATAAAACGATTTATGAAGTCTTGACAACAGTATAGTTTACAGTATAGTATAGTAACAGAAATAGTTTACCTTTCTTTGGAAGTCTCAAAATTGTTATTTTAAATGACATTAGATTTCAATAAAAATTGCATTTCTCATAACTGAGAACAATACAGGTTCTCGTTTAAAAATGCATCTTAAGATGAAATTTGGATTAAATGCTGCTTCTTACAAAAAAAAAATCAAATAGTATTTTAAGTACCGGTAGTAGATAAATGTAGAATTATTTTCTAATACTAAATACTCAGTCTTAACATAAAACGTTAACCGAATGTTACTTAATCAAACAATTTGAAATGTATGTGGGATTATTTTGTTCAGTCTCAGTCCTCGAAACACTTTAACATTCATCCGTGTTAACACTCAACTGAAATTAAAATTCTCGGAAATGTTAGTAGTAACATATCCAACCGGAATGATCGTTAAAAATTCACATTTGAATACGCCAATTATAAACATTCTTGGTTTGCGGGTGGTTTTCAAGTATTTTAAACAACGTAGCGTGGAGTTTTGGTTACGACAAGTGATTTTCAAGTATTTCATATTTTGATTTCATGGTAAAACGAATGTACAAATACGATTATTAAAAATGTTATTTTGATTATGAATAACGAAAAATGAAAATACACTTATTAAATTAAATATAACTGAATATGTTATTGGATATTCATATAATAGGTTGGTTAAGAAGATTACCTGATAGTTTTGATAAAAGACTTTAAAAAGTTGTAAAACTCAAAAATGCATTCTCACATCCCAATAGTTATATGTGCAACTAGTGAGAAAAGTGAGCAATTGACTCACTCGAGAGAAATCCTTACTCACGAGCCGTAGGCGAGTGAGGAATGGTTTCTCGAGTGAGGCAATTGTACTTTGAACTCGAGTTGCACATTATAATTTTTCCTACAGTTACCATAAAACAAATAAATTGGTGAATAAACATAACCTATTTTTACACAGAAGTGAACTTTTAATATAACATTTAACGTGAAGTGACAAATACAACAGTACAACAGCTGACCAGCTGATTTACAGCCAGTGCTGCCAACGTATTTCGTGTGCATACGACGTTGCCTGCATGTTACGCGCTCACTATTTCGTGCATTCACGTTGCAAATCTGGAGTGAGACAAAGTAATTAGAGTGAGACAATGTTAACATTGTCTCACTGATGAGCGAATTCGCCACTTTGTTTTTTTAAATCAGTGAGAGAACATGTACATTGTTAGGTAACTGTAGGAAAAGGTATTTTGTGTGTAATGAAATTATATAACCTTCATATAAAAACGTGGAATTATTTTTATAGCATTGTTTAGCTTTTAAAACATAGAAGTAAATACAATAGAAGCAGAAACCAATATGAGGCCTACATTAAAAATATACAATGTTTTCCACATTTTTTAAGTATATATATACAGGGTGTTCAAAAAGGCCAATATAAAAGAGAAAATCAAGTATAACAATTTTTCCAAAATCGCTTCGTTAACCAGATATCCGCCATTTTGTATATTTTAAGTAAACTTTTTATCTTTGGACTTTTCAACTGATCTTTATAAAACTTTGTATGTATGTTAAGATAAAAGAGACCCATGTTAGAAAAAAAATCATCTTAATTTAACTTAAAATTTCAAAATGACGGCCATTTAAATTTTTCAAAGTTACTCAAAAACAGTTATTTTATGAAAAATCGTCTAGAAAATAAGAAATAGCTGAAATATAACGATTTTTGTTGTAAAATGGGGTAGAATAAGGCAGAAGCTAGTCTGGTTTGTCCCATTTTACAACTAAAAATCATAATATTTCGGCTATTTCTTATTCGATATTTATGAACTTGGTATTGTTCGATAGGGAATTAAAAATGCCAAATAAAAGTGTTCTAGACGTTTTTTTCATAAAGTTGATTAACATGGGTATCTTCTACTTTAACATACAAACCAAGTTTTATAAAGAACGGTTGAAAGAGTCAAAAGATAATAATGTTTATGTAAAAAATACAAAATGGTGAATATCTGGTAAACGAAGCGATTTTGGAAAAATGTTATACGTGATTTTCTCTTTATTTTTACCCAAGAAATCACTAGGTAAAATATGTCCCCACCTTTTTTTGAACACTCTGTATATAAATCGTATTAAAAATATATAAGCATATAAATAGTTTTTGTTTGTACAAATGTTACGGGTATTGACATTGAGACATATCTCCTTGTAGTTGTTGTACAGTCTCCAGTTCGGCAAGTTCTCGCATCTTGACAGAATATATCCCTGACATGTTTTCCTCTAAACAGTTTTCCATAAAGTTCTTCTTTTTCTCGGGAAATGGCTGGTTCAAGCAGCCTGTCGGGCCTTGGGTGTGAATAGCCGCAAAGTCGAGACAATCAATCACCCCATCTTTGTTACAGTCCTAGAACATGTGGTATTGAATTATATGGTGAAATACGCGGTCTTGGCGTTAACAACGAATTTAATAAACCAAAAAACAAACACTACTTATCTTTCAAATGAAACTCTAATCAATATAAAACGTTTTGTTAAACTGATATATCGGTTTGATTAACATATATAGTTTATACAGGCCAACTATCACTTCTATTTCAAGTAAAAAGACTAAATAAAATACAAAGATAAACAGTATTTGTTAATTATTATGTCTTTTATTAATGTGAATATTCCCGTGGCGGAGCACGGACGGTTAACTAGTATGAATAATCATAAGGTTAACATGGAGAACTCCAGAGCCTTTGGAGTGGAGCCCAAAAGTCAGATCAGATTAAAAATCTACTTAGTTCTGTTATTTAATGCCTAAAGAATCAGTGTACCAAATTTCATTCTTCTAGGTAAATGGAAAGTACCGTAGGAGGATTAGCGTTGAGTGAGTCAGTCTGTGAGGGATTTGCATTTTATAGGTATAGATCAAGATATGAAGTCAATTCTGTATTTCTATACTGTATATTATGCTCACTATTCCAACTTGGATTTGACACTTGACTTACTCTTTTGTATAACTCCATGTAATTTTGGATCGCCTTAGTAGTACATATCAGATCTGTAGCACACTTCTCATATTCAGATATCAGTTTTGGATCTGTGAAATAAATAAATTAGGCTGACTATTAAACTGACTATAAATTAGGCAAGTAACTGCTAATCCAATCTAGCGTCCTAGTAGACAAGTAAATTAAAAAGTTGGTCTACTATATACATGTTAACTTTAATACTTGAACCATTGTTAAACAATTGAATTGCATAGCAACTTAAAGGAGATTGATGTTTATGATACAGTATATTTACATCCACAATCCCAACACCACCTTCATGACACTCCCATATCTGGCTGTTAAGTTCATATTGGGCTTGAGTATTGCCATAGAGTGATTGTTAGGAATTTTCATTTATTCTGATTTTATGAGATAAAACAATATACATCATAGTTTGAACTTAATGCTGAAACGAATGAAGAAGGTAGACTTGCAATAGAGTCGCAACTCTAGATGCTTATCGTTTCCAAATGGCAAAAAATAAACGGAATAAAGGATGCATTTTTATTTAATTTACTAGTCAATTTACCAAATAAAGGATAGTCAAGGAATATGTGAATATTTAAATTTTGTTCCTAGATATAATATGTTAACTTGTAATTATTGTCTATTGATATAAAAATGTTATACATTCCCAGAACCGTCAAAATTGTTGGTGGTTTATTTATGAATAGTTGGCCTAGTATTTAAATATATTATTTTGCCGTACACGTTTGATTATATATTCTTAAAATTTACCATTTCTCTTGGCGCCGTCCTGGTCCTGTATCCCCACAGCGTCCTCCCAGAAAGGCATAGTCACTCCGAACGGTCCACAATCACCGTTTTGACACCCTCTGTAGAGGTCACACTTGGTCAGCAACTGACATAGGCAGTCTAGGCACTCTTCTGACACCAGCTGGCTGTGTTCCTTAGTATACACTGCTACCAACATGACAATGTTAACTGTGGCACCAGCTGACTGAGTGCCTTATTAGACACTGCTACCAACATAACAATGTTAACTCTGACACCAGCTGGCTGAGTGCCTTAGCAGACACTGCTACCAACATAACAATGTTAACTCTGACACCAGCTGAATGAGTGCCTGTTCTTTACCAGACACTGCTACTGACATAACAATGTTAACTCTGACACCAGCTGGCTGAGTACCTTACCAGAGATTGCTACCAAGATAATATTGTTAACACTTAGACTAGTAGTTGAAAAGTTGTAGGTGGCCAAAATCCTAGAAATGTCACAATTAACTCATCATCTGCTAAAACGTCACAGAAAATATTAAGTTGTGAGGATAGATTCATTGCAGTTTTGAAACAGAGTAGGCCTATCTTGAAGCGTCAAATACAAAAACAAGTATCTGCAGTCTATATCTGTATCTACTTACAAAATATAAAAACGAAGCAACGAATATCAAAAGTAAGAAGTATTTTTCTTGTTCGAGTTTAGATATTTTAAAGCTAAAAACAATCAATTGATTGGCAATAACCATGCTGAGTTTGTTGGTTCACGTAAAGAATTTTATTAGATAACACTAAAATGATGCAATTACACTGTTGAATAAAGCAAAATGATGTTGAAAATAAGAGATATTTTGTAAAAAGATTTAAGTGACACAGATAAGAGAATGACACAGTTTCATAGACAAAGGTGTGATGACGTGTATCAGATGATTTGTTGGGATTGAATTGTATTGGTTTCGTGGCCAGAATAAATTGGAGCTCGAATGCCCCTTTCTATGTTAAACCACATTTTAAACGTGGAATTAATCGAGTGTATACAAAACATAGAGAATGCAATCTCTGTATATCTCAAAACTTAACATGTATTAAACTTTTTGAAAATTCCCTTAGGGTTTGACTAACAATAATTAACATTGGCATTTATGCTACCTTACCTTTACTAAAATAGATCAAACACACAAGAACAAGAATTCTCTTCATTGTTCTTCAGGTAAATGATTATACAATAGTATATAAAATCAAGCGAATCCCGGTGTAATTTAAGTTAGTTTACGTCACAGGAATGTGTAAATTAAAATAATACTTGATCACTTTGAAACTTCAACAAATAAAGTTGATATCCAATGATACTTTGAATCAACTCAAGAACACGCCTTCACTGTTCTTACATTAGCATTAAACATCTTAACAAAGTTGTCGCCTAATGAGCAGCTGAAGTCTTAGCAAATAATTTGCATAACTACATAAACATGTCTTCTTCATTACCTATAGTTGTGTACGTGGTCTTGTGTCATATACCTCATCGTGTCGACGTGGTAGTAGGACAAAGATGTAACTTTAATACGGTACTAATACAATATATTCTTCTTGGGTCTACTTCAGTTTAATTGTTTTGTGGTTCAGTTTAATGGATTGAATGGTTGTGTATTGGTGTTGTTTTTCTGAATCAGCGAAAATATTACGCTTATTGGTGACGGATAAAATTTAAACAAATTTAAATTTAAAATTCCTATATTTCTTATGGAGAATGTTGTAAAATGTTGTAGTTTGCTAGTTTATGGATACATTTTGATCAAACTTGTGAAATTTATTATTATTTCGTACTAAGCTAAAGCTTTAGTATATTTTACTAAAAACACACTTTATTCGTTTCCTTGTAGCAGCAATCCCAGGTACACGTTAAACCTAATGTTATTAAAATAGATTTAATTGAAAATCAATTAAGACAAATGAAAATTCGCTTATCCGGCAGGTTCCTGCCGTGGGGGTATTAATCACATTTTGTGTTTGATTTTCCTAAACTATAGTTGAATACGTTGAACGGTCACTAAAACCTGCAAATCACATTATGTATAAAACAAGTTCTATAAAAAGCTCAAAATCTACGTTCATGCACACATTGGGTTGAGCATTTCCAAAGTCGTAAAACTCGGGATAACGGTTTATGATGCTATAAAATAAAACGTGTAAATCATAAGCGTAAGCCTATGATAGTTTATGACGTATGAGCCCAGCTAAAATTATGACATCTGTATACTGGGAAAACGTTCGAACGACTGTTGGTACTGGGAAAAACATTCGAAGGACTGTTGAAGTTTTCAAATCTTTGTTGTTACTTTTTGGGCTCAACAGTACTATTGCATAAATAGCTTAGTTTTTTTCTTCTTTTTTTCATGACGCAACATTCACCGGCGTGTTTGTCAGTTTGTCACTTGGCCAAGTTTGTAAAATTCGTGTATTTAAATGTTTTCTTATTCGTGTTTTTTGTGCAATATTTATTTTGACAAAATCATCCACGGATGACAGCTATTTTATCTTGACGCTCTACAACCTGAAGATGTGCCCCAGCGGCATGAAACAGCTGTAGTTATCACTTACTACATCAAGGATCGTTCGACGCAAAAGGTAACCTAAACCATTTTATATCTTAATTTTTTGTTTTCTGCGTAGACTTTTTATTGATTTGTCTTCCCTGAACAAGTTTTTTTATATTTCATGATGCCTAATGGCACAAGATCACTTACTGAATAATATTGTTAAATCTAATTGTCTATAGGTGATCCAACTGTCGTCTGGTTAAAAAATTCTCATTGTTAGGTTAGGTTAGGTTACGATTCAAAAGTCACATTACTCCATAGAGATAATTGATAACCACGAGTCGTCCCCATTTATACGTTATTTGTAACAGGAAAATTAAACCAAAATTTCTCAGGCGGAATTTAGTTATTTTCACTAAATCACACTTATACCACACTTATACTGTATTGTATTTTTACAGTATTAGTAGCTTTTGTAGCTACATACAACAAAAGCTACTAATACTTCAAAAAAGAGCTGTGAGATCAATTGAACAACTGCAATATAGGGAACACTGCAAACCTTTTTTCACAACTAACCAAATCCTAACTTTACCCTCCTTGTACATCCTAGAAATAATGAAATTCCTAAAAAATGACCCCCCCCAAACCAGAAACAATTGACATAACTACAACCTCAGAAATTTACAGACAAACTACAATCTACAACCACACAGACTCACTAAAACTAGCAAAAATCCAAAAATAATAGAAACTAAAATATTTAACACATTGCCAAACAACCTAAAATCAATAGATTCAAACACTCTTTTCATAAAAAAACTGAAACAATACTTAATCAACAAACCTTACTATAGTCTAAATGAATATTTCGAAGACCACACACCCTACAACAATACATAACAGTACCCAAAGAAGAAAGAAACAGAAAAAAACAAGAATTTTGACGATTCCCTGGTCTCAACGACTATGGAGAAGAGGACCTAGGTAAAAGGTAAAAGATATCAGCTTAACCTACTGTAGTGTGGGAGAGTGAGCTGGTCTAGTGGTTAGAGCGCGGGACTATGGCCCTCGGGTCCAATCCCGCCAAATTACCAATGGATTTTATCCAAGTGATAATGCTACAACCTCTAGGTCTAGCCGGAAGTATTGTGAAAAACAATCCCAGAGTTGTACCTAGCGTCCTAGGACAAAAAACCTACTGAAATGAAATTCTAGATTACAGGCAAATTGTATTTCGACATTTGATGTTAGTAATTGAAAATACAAAGATTGGTGGCAAAATCTTAAAAATGAAATAAATCAATTTGTTGCTGATTGTGCACAATTAGGAGTGTCTTTAAGCCATTAATAACGCTTGAACGCCCATTTCGTATTTCGACAGTGACGATTCAGAGTTTTGTTTTTGTGACGTTAATGGATGAAAACAGATTGATGGCGTATTGATAAAGTGGGTTAGCCGAAGCCAATACATGGTGGGACATAGAAAAAATATCAGCTGACGAGAGGAAGTTGAATAGTTTCTTGATCAGCATCTCACGTGTTATTAAATTATCTGAAAAAGCCAAAATATATACGTCCAATAACACTTGTAAAAATATATTTACACTTATACTGTTGACTTACAAGACAGTAAATATATATACAAGTTGGTAAGTGGTGATCGATTTCGATTGGACACTCCAATCATCATCAGACCTAATAGGCGAAGATTTCCATATATACACGAATAAAAATATTTCCTCAAAATTTACTTAATACCATTGACCGTTTGATTGAAGAATGTTCATTAATAATTATTGTCAGAGTGATACATTAGAGTGACTAGCCTGAGGGAACTATGTAGTGGTCTTAATAAAACTTTAGTGCCCTGTGGAACCTTGCATACTGCATTTTAATATCACTCCATACTTCATGATATGGTATGGTATTAAAATCCATTCAAGCGCTTCTTATGCTGAAAAAGATGTATACTTTATTTTATTTTATAAACTTACATTTTGATTATGCATCTTTCAGGCTGGATTAATAAACACTATTGACTATATAGTATATTTAATCAATGTAAATACCCTTAATAATACAGTTTATTTTATCAATGAAAACCCCTTTACGTTTATTAAAAACTTTAAAATATCAACGATAAATATTATCACATTAAATTATTTATTAAAAAAAACTAATTCATGACATAAGTACATACAGTACTTTAAGTCTGACTAGTTTGATGGTACTAAAGATTTCTTAAGACTAAATAGGCACAGACCAATGTAACTAATATCAATAAAGCAAAATATGTAACCATGGTAATTAATTCTACAACCTACAATCTCTAAAATACTAAAACAGTTTAGTTAATACGAAAGCTGCTTTAATACAAAATCTTGATAATACTGCAACTTGTTTCGTATTTCAAGAAGTCATCTTCAGGCTCCAAGGGATATCACGTGCACTTCATTAGAAGGTAATCGATTCACATAATATAGTAGATAGACACACAAACACGAACATTGAAACGATAAAACCAGGAATATTGGAATAGAAACTGTATGGATCATAAACATAAACAAATTCTGTAACTTGCCCGAAAGTAAACATTATTTTATATGGGCCTATCCAAATCATAATAACATTATTAAACAAAGATTCGGGCCAGTTACGTCATTTGTTTATGCTTATGATCCATACAATGTCTGTTCTAGTATTCGTGGGTAAAACAGTACATAAACAAGTAAAAAACTAATAGAAATGTTAAGAATAGGGGAAGGATGTGTCACTACCGAATGTAGAAACAAGGCAAGAACGTTGCCAGTGCAGTGACGTCACTCATTTCGTCTTGTTATCAGTCAGCTGTTCACTCCCGTCTCTCTCTCAAGTAACTTGATCACGAATATTAGAACAGAAACGTTATGGATCATAATCAAAACAAATTACGTCCCTAGCCCAAATGCATGTGCTGATTTGACAGTTGCATTTGAATATTAACATAGACAAAGAGAATTAAATATAGGCTGTCAGCTGTGCTGCGGTTACCATAAAATCTGGCGCACACCACTGAGAGCGCGATGTAGTTATAGCCTACGCACTACGTAACTACACGGTGCTCCCAGTGGTGTGGGCCAGAACCTATGGTAACCATGATATTAATAAAATCATGTTTACTTCAAACCACTGACAGCTTATGTTTATTGTCCATGTTGTTTCTCAAATAATATTCGTTACATTAAATAGCCGTATCATAATATAATTTGATTGGAAGGAAAGTCTGTTTTTATTTCGTTTTTTAAATTTTGCTTTCAAATTCTTCGCGTGTTTCTATTAAAATGGTCGTTAGAAGCATGAAGTACGGTATTTAGTTACAGAGATTAAGTGTTTGGGAAATGTTAAAGTTTTCAGCGTAAGTTGTTTTCCTTAGTTGGTGTACCTTGAATCTTTTCTTGACAAAACGAGCTGCTTGGCCTAAATAAAAAAACCAAGATTTCATAATATCAATATTTTTAATTTCAACATTTTTTTCTTTACAGCATGACGTTACAATTACTATGTGTTGGGGAGCGAGCTGGCGTAGTGGTTAGAGTGCGGGACCAGTCCCTGAGGTCTCGGGTTCGATCCCCGCCAAGTCACCAGTGGATTTTATCTAAGTGCTAATGCCGCAACCCTTAGGTCTAGCCTAAAGTAATGTGAAAAACAATTCCAGGCTCGTGCCTAGCGTCCTAAGACAAAAAAAATTACTATGTGTTATACAGTATTTTTATAAAAACTTATATCGTCAGT